CGGGCGGGTGGGGCGGGGCCGCGCACGCTCACAAGTAATCGCCATTTTAAGGCATTTCTCACGAAAAAAGTTGCTTTATTTTTGTTTGAGCGTGTTCCTCATGCTTTTTACTACGCGAAACAATGGTCGACACGTGAAATTTCATCGGTGAACAGGGTGGTTAGGCCGCTTGAACACACTGTACACTGCGAGACCTAACTTTCACCTTTAACCCTTTCTCCTGAGCGTTGCCAGTAACTTTCCGAGGTGTTCGAAAGCTCAAAAAGACCGCGTACTCGTACGGAACACAATGCAAAAGACAGAACTCAAAAATTCGGTCTGGAAGTTGGTCAAAACAACAGAGGAATAACAAAAAGCGGCGAAAACGCGGGGTTTGTGCAGCGGGTTGCCTACCCGGACCTCCCGTAAGGCGCAATGGGAAATTCGAACGCTTATAAAATCTGTCCTAAGGGAAATTTTGAATGCCTCTTCGGGCCAAATCCTTTATTTTGTCCATAAGTACCCCCCTGCCAAGTGGCATCGCTTGACACAAATTTGCCGTTTCCGAAAATGTAGAGCGGGCACTATGTGGGGAAGCCACCTCGGCGGAGTGGTCCTGGCCGGCCCCACCACCGTGAGCCGCACCAGCCTGGTGCAGACCCACCCGTCTCCCGCCGTCGTGGTGGCCGCCCCCGCTCTGCACGCCCCCGTTCTGGCCGCCTCCCCCATTGTCACCGCCCCCCTGCTCCAGAGGACGGTCGTCGCCGGCCCCGGCCTGGTGACCGTCGATGGTCTTGGCCTCGGCCACGGTCTTAGCCTCGGCCACGGCTGGTAGTCGGGACTTGTTCTTGTTGAGTATGGTACAGCTTGGATGGAATAAAAAAGGCACTTGGACGTGGGTCGTCATTCTTCGCCTGTAATGCACACAATGCTTCACGAGTAGTGGCTCGAAAACCAACTTGAACGTTCCCAAAGCACTGAGCACTCTGTCATGAATCTTGTCCAGTGCCGTACAAAGATTGTCACCTAAGAGAAATACCAGACAACCGATAAACATGCATGGATCTGTTATCCCAGTAGAAAGAAATAAAATATCAAATGGATGCCATTTTCGACATCAAGGCAGTCATTTGACCTCATATTGGCCTCAATTTGATATATTTTAGGTCAAAAAATGATGTTGAAATTATGTCAAAATTGCCCTCTTGATGTCAAATCGGGAAACGCGACAAAGAGGCGAGGAAGCGGACATGAAAGTTGGTATGGTTTGTCTGCCCCGCTCGCGCCCGACCCGGCACCTGCCGGACAGCCGACGGCCTAATCCTCCTCGCACTGCATGGAAACTCTACAGTCGCGCTGCGCTTGTCATGCCTCATGGGCGGACGCTAACGCTTATTGCAAGACTATAAGTTGTAGCGGAAACTGAGCCTAGCGCCATTATCTCTTTTTATTGCACTGCTCGACGGCTTAATGGGAGGAGGAGGACCTAGCTCTTGGAAGTGAGCTGACTGCATGTCATGCGCAGTTAGACACTTACACCCTCGCTGCCTATAATGTGGTATCTCATGATCAACTTGAATTTGAGTAACAATCGATGAGACGACCGGGCCATCCCTTGGCCAACGCATGGTGCAATCAACGCTCAAAAACTCAATCATCATTTATGTCGTGTTTTACTCGTTCCTTACCGACACCACATCTACTTTGTGTTGTTGAGCAAGTATTGTTATCGGTGCCGTGTAATTGAGCGGCGCATTTTCATTTCACGATCCTCGGCGCCTGCGAGACTTGGGGTAGGCCAGCCCGCAATACACGTATGCACGGCAAACAAGATGTTGCCTAGCCATCAGGCGCTATGAGAGCTTGCATTTTCTGAACTCGTTTTTAACTTGTTCAGTGTATTATTTAGACTCAACGAATATCTGTCCCTATAGTAGTCACGCACACGCTGACACTATCCATCCGCGGCTTGTCTCACACACGCCCCACACAAACTACAGAAAAAAACACAGATTTTCCAAAAGAATCATATTTATTTTTTTCTTTTCGGATGCAATGAGTTATTTGATTACTCTTTTTTTTAGAAAAAAAGACACAGAATCAAACAAGGTACGAAAGTGGTGTGACATCGTGCTTTGTCACGGAGGCAGTGACATCATCTTTGGACCGAGATGTTTGCAACTTCCATCAGAGATGCTCACCAGCTCACCAACCGGTGACCGTATCACTGGAGCCATTGAAATAGCGCCGGCGGACGACTGCTGGAGGCGATGGGGGAGCTGCTAGGCTTAGACCAGCAGGACCTGGCCGTTGGAGAGGAGGGTGGGGTGGCCGGCCAGGCTCAGGGAGGAGAGGGGCACGAGTCCAGAGGTGCTCACGAGTCCAGAGGTGCTGACGACGCCGCCGCCGGGGCCGACCACCAGGGTGGAGGCGGGGACGACGCCGCCGTTGAGCAGCACCAAGCCACCGCTGGGCTTGGGGGCCGGCTCGGGGGCGGGGGCCGACAGAGCGGGGGCGACCACGGCGACGAGGAGGATGGCAACCTGCAATGCAAACGCCAAGGTGAGCATCGAGCCGTACCGTCCTAATCTAACCACAAGAAGAAATAGAAACGAGGGGTACTTCACTCAAAAATATCAGTGACCACCATCCAAAAATTAGAAAAATACAAGGAAAACCGAATTTAAAAATCAGAAAAAAAATCTCAAATTCAGAAAAAAACTTAAAATTATAGTGTACGCTTGAATTTGTAGTAAAGAGCCCCTGGGGTGGAACGTTCGCAAAAGTTCTGCCAGCATGGCCAGACGCTCTAACAGGGCCGAGGCTATAGCCTATGCTCCCCGTCGTGGAGAGCGATCACGCTTCTCTCCCTGGCCAGGTTGCCGCGGATGCGGTTGGTCCCGCACACATCCCACAGGGGAGGTGCCGACCGAGATGGCACTTACCAGGACCTTCATGTTGGCTGGGAGAGGAGATTTGGTTCTAAAGAACAAGAGAACTGATTGAAGCCTTGGAGAGGACTGATGCTGGACAGAGGAGACTATGCGTTTATATATGCTTTGTGCGCGGCAGCGCCCGGCAGCGCCGGACACGGGGCTCCAGCACACACACGCGCGTGCACACACACACACACACACACACACACACGCACACTGCGACGCGCACTCCTCAAAGCTGGACGCGCGGGCGCCCCGCACCGCCCTGGTTCCCTCCTTCCCCGGAGGATTCCCTTTCGCTCTGCTCTCGATAGCAGCAGCCCGGACCAGCCACGTTGACCCCACCCCTCCCCACTTTCTCTACCCCCGCGATGCCGGTGCGTCCGATCCTAGATTTGAATGTCCTGCCGTGACGTACCTGACATAAGGTTCAGCCTCTGCCAGCGAAAAGCTAGCATAGCGCCTGGTAGGTAGGCAATATCTTGCCTGCAGTGCATGCGTGTATTGTGGGCTGGCCTACCCCGAGTCTCGCAGGCGCTGGGCTCGCGTAATTTGTCGAATGAATCGGAGGAAAACCGGACGTACTTTAAGGGCGATCCATCCTGAGTCCCGCGGCCAGCATGCGCATGCGCAACGCCTGAGGGCGCAGAGGGCGAGCGCCCGAGTGGTATTCTGCACGGGCACACGGTTGTGCAAAGGCCGAGCCTAGGCGAGCCTACCCCCCAGCCGACCCGGCGGCCCGGGCAGAAGGGCCCCACGTCCCGCACAGTTAAAAGCTAAATGAAATATTACTGCTTCGTCGACCGATGAGGAGAATGAATGCCTTGTGATGACTAAGCGCATTGGTTCGCAATTCGAAAAGCAGTGCTTCCTAGGCTATGGCACTTGGCTGGCACCAAAGAGCTTTGCAAAGTGATTGGTTCATTACTTCGAAGATCCGTCACACTGCAAATCAATTTCTATGTTACTAGGAAGCGTCAATTTTCTACGTAACTCGCAGAATAACGACATTGTAGGCTTTTAGCCGTACGCGCCTCAAGCGGCCTAAATAGAGCCTCGCAGGCTCTGTAAGCAGTGCACCGCGCGCGCCCAGCATCTGGAGCCGTGGCTTCGACCACGATGGGCTTCTACCATCCCAGTTTGTTGCCGTTTGACCCTCACTTTGGTGTGACGTTACAATTACTTCAAAACCTCCCCTCGCACGTATAAGCGTGATATGGTACTGCTGCTTTCATATTTATGCCCACATTGACCCCAACCCACAACGAGCGCCGGCCAGCACAAACGCTCTGGAAGCATTCCAAAGATCGGAGTGCTTGTTTTCACTATATTTCATTTAGAAAGAATTGAGAGTATAAAGGCGCCAGAACATAAAGAGCGCCATCCTCGGCGCAATGGAGACGTTCAAATCGCGCGCCTTTTGAAGGTTATTACGGATGGTTTTTAATATGATGAAACTCTTGGCGCGTATTGCTCCAGTTTGTTTGCGCCTCGCAGCCTTCCATGCGTTGTTACTCCTCCGCACAACTGCATAGGCGCGCCAGCGGGAGGGGGGGAGGAGGGGGGTGTGGAGTCGCCGCCTGTCCTCACCTATTTGTCTCCGCCCGAGCGTCCCGACCCAACGATGTCCCATTTTACTGAACCCGCTCGATTTGTCAACAGCAGGGGCAGAGGGCGGCCGGTGCGGCCGGGCGGGTCGGCGCGGGGCCGGGCCGTGCCCCGCTCTTTGTGTCCCCCAACTTGC